AGACCTACTGCTCAGAAGAAAAGATCCCTTTCAAAATATCACTGCTCATTAGCAATGCACTTGGTCTCCCAAGAGCTCTGATGGAGATGTATGGTAAGATTAATGTCTTCACGCCTGCTAATACCACACCCATTCTGCAGCCCATGGGTCAAGGAAATACATTTCATAAGGGTATAGCTGCCATGGATAGTGATTTCTCTGATGGATCAGGGCAAAATAAGTAGAAAACCTTCTGGAAAGGGTTCACCATTCTAGATGCCATTAAGAGCATTGTTGATTTGTGGGAAGAGGTCAAAATGCCAATGTTCACGAGTTTCGAAGAAGTTGATTCCAACTTTCATGGATGACTTTGAGGGGTTCAAGTCTTCATGGAAGAAATTACTGCAGATGTGGTGGAAACAGCAAAAGAACTAGAACTGGAGCTGAGGATGTGACCGAGTTGTTGCAATCTCACAATAAAGTTTGTGAAGAGAGTAAAATGCTATCAAATAGTGTCACGTTCTATAAAGAAATTTTTCATGAAAGGAAGAGTCAATTGATGTGATAAACTTCATTTTTGTCTTATTTTAAGAAACTGCCACAGCCACCCCAACTTTCAGCAACTACCATTCTGATCAGCGGCCATCAACATCAAGGCAAGACCTTCCACCAGCAGAAAGATAATGACTCACTGAGAGCTCAGGTGATGGTTAGCTTTTTTTTTTTTAAAAAAAAGCATTTTTTAAAAAGATTTTATTTATTTATTCACGAGACACACAGAGAGAGAAAGACACAGAGACAGACAGAGGGAGAAGCAGGTTCCATGCAGGGAGCTCAACGTGGCACTCGATCCTGGGTCTCCAGGATCACAGCCCGGACCGAAGGCGGCACTAAACCGCTGAGCCCCCCGGGCTGCCCCTCAAAAAGCATTTTTAAATTAAGGCATATAGATTGGTTTTTTAGACATAATAATCTTGCACACTTGATACACTAGAGTGTAAACATAACTTTTATATGCACTAGAAAACCAAAAAATTCATTTGTCTCACTTTCTTGTGGCATTTACTTTATTGTGATGGTCTGAAATCTAATCCACAATATGTCTGAGGTATGCCAAAAATGTTTTTTTTAATATTTTATTTATTTATTCACGAGAGACACAGAGAGAGAGAGAGAGAGAGGCAGAGACACAGGCAGAGGAAGAAGCAGGCTCCATGCAGGGAGCCCGACGTGGGACTCGATCCCGGGTCTCCAGGATCACGCCCTGGGCCAAAGGAAAGTGCTAAACTGCTGAGCTACCCTGGGATCCCTATAAATGTTTTTTAAATGGGGAACTCTTAAGTGGGAGAAAATGAGCTGTGTTTTTATGTAAAAGAGGATAAAGTTAGAAAATATTCACAGATAAATGGCTGGAAAATCTATTCTAATTTATTATGTTTTTCCCATTTAGAAATCATACTGGGCTCAACATGCTTGACGTTAGGAATATAAGGGTGAGCAACTTCTAAGGAGTTTACAATGTAGTCACTTTACCATAATCTCATTAATAATTTCATACTTCAGTATCATTCGGTGCTTTAACTTCAAAGTCTGGGAGTTTTAAGGAGAGATGATGTAATGAAATTCCAGGGTATTCATTTACTCACCCAGCCACTGACATTTAAACAAATTCAAGTCTCTCACCCTGAACTTGACAACACCTTCCCTTCACTCTCCTCCACTCCCCTCTCCAGTTACCACCTTTTCCCCCCAACTCTTTCACAGTTTAAGTTCTCAAGAGCTTGAGGTACTATTTCTCCTCCTCATCTACTCACTTCTTCTTCTTCTTCTTTTTTTTTTTTTCATCTACTCACATCTAATCTTTCATCTGCATTTACCGAAACAGCATGAATGCTCCATGGACCCTTTCCAGTCCTCATTTTATCCAATTTGTACCTTCTTGGAAATTTTTTTCTCTTATTTCAATACCATCCTGGTTTCTCCCCTACCTCCAAGGTCTCCTTTTTTGTAGATTCCTGCATAACGATGTTACATGAAAAACTTCTCAAAGCTCAAGGCCTGGGCCACCTTCTCTTCTCATTTTCTAATCTCTGCTGAGGCAATCTTATCCAATTACATGTTAACAATGCCCATATTTACATTTTTTCCCCAGACCTCTCCTCTGAGCTCTAGACCTGTGACTCCAATATACACCCTTGAAGATCGTAAAGTTCCTCAAACACATGTCTGGAATGGAACTTGTGAGCTCCGTCCCTCTATGCCAGTATTTGATATCTCAGCAAGTGGCCCTGTCATCCACTCAGCTGCATAATCCCGAGACCTAGGGATTGTTCTTGAAACTCTTTTCCTGAGCTCCGCCTTCCATAGTATTCAGTACATTGTCGATTTCTTCTATATAACTCTCAGATGCACTCACATCTCTACATCTGGGTTACCATCCTAATCCATTTTAGCATCTTCCTGACTGGATTACTGCAGTAGAGACCTAACTGGTCTCTCACATCCCTCTCTTCTAGCTCAATCTATCCTCCTTATTGCAACCAGAAAAATTTCTTAAAACTGCAAGTCTGATCAAGCTGTTTGGGTATTTAAAACCCTTCAGTCAGCATTGTTTGGAGCAGAAAGATCAGAACCTACCTCCCCAGCCCCATCTCACAGCAGGCTCCCCCTCTACTCCTGGCCTACTAACTTGTCTTCCGTTGCTCCAGCGTGCCATATTGCTTTTAGCCACAGAATCTGACAGTTGTTCACCTTGTTTGAAACTCTTGCCCTCTGTCCTCTCTAGGTTGCCTAGGTAACTCCTACTTACCTACCACAGAAGCCTTCCCTGACTCTTGAGACGGAATCAAACCCCCTCTTCTATACTCACAGCACCTAGTTTCTTTCTTTTTTTTAAAGTAATGGAATGGTTTTTTGTTTTTGTTTTTGTTTTTAGATTTTGTTTATTTATTCATGAGAGACAGACAGAAAGAGAGGCAGAGGGCAGAGACACAGGCAGAGGGAGAAGCAGGCTCCACGCAGGGAGCCCGACGTGGGACTCGATCCCGGGTCTCCAGGATCAGGCCCTGGGCTGAAGGCGGCGCTAAACCGCTCAGCCACCCGGGCTGCCCGGCCCAGTTTCTCTTCATAGATATTCTCATTTATATTTATACACATTGTTGTATAATGATTTGATCAGTCTCTGTCTTGCCACCCATCTATTAGTTTCACGAAGGCAGAACCTATTATTCTTACCATTTTATCCTCAAAGCCGGCTGTAGTGCCTGGCACATACTAGGCACTCAATAAAAGTTTGCTGCATTGGGGAGCCTGGGTGGCTCAGTCGGTTAAGCATCTGACTCCTGAATTCAGCTCAGGTTATGAGCTCAGGGTCTTGAGATCAAGCCAGGCATTAGGCTTTGCACTCAGCTCAGTGGGGAGTCAGCTTGAGATTCTCTCTCCCTCTTCTTCCACCCCTCTCCCTACTCATGTTTTTTTTTCTCTCTCTCTCATAAATAAATAAATAAATAAATAAATAAATAAATAAATAATTTTTTAAAGGTTTGCAGCATGAACGAAGAAAGGAATAAACAAACATAGTGACTTGCCCAGGGTCAATAAGGCAAGACAGACCATAGCCAAGTATTCTAGTCCAAGTATTTCTAGTCCAGCTTACTAGCCTTCTCACAAAGACCTTGTCCTGGATTGTTTTGAGTGATTGCAACCAAAGCAACTTCACAACTCAGGTCCAATTTCTCAACTCCACCATTTTCTATGGATGCCATTTATGCAGCAAGGAGATGTGATAGTCTAGCAACTTTTCTTTTTTCCAAGAACAACATGTTACCTTTTTGCTCTATTTTGAAGGTTCTTTTAAAAAAATGATAAACCATGCCTCTATTTAAAACTTGTAAAGCTTTTTGAGATTCCCAGAAGAAATATAAGGTGTAGGTCACAAAGAACAATTTCATCTCTTGCAATAGAATTTCCTGTTCAAAAAATGATGTTAATATGAAAAGCTGATATCTCTAAAAGAACATTCTGTTAGGTGGGTAATCATCATCGTATTGCCAGCTGCTGTATATACCCTTCTCTTAAGAGTGAGAATGTAAAAAGCCACTTTGCTGTGTAGAAGTGCCTGTGTGTTTCATAAAATCCACATAAAATGTTCAGTGGTTAAAGGAGCAGCTGCTATATTTATAAGACCAATAAGTTAACTGTCACCCTTGAAGAAGCTTGAATATGTGATTCTCAAGGGTCTTTGGTGCCATGGCTGAAAATGGAATCATTATTTTTCAACTCGCCTTGCTCACGTCATTGACTCCCACCTGCAGCCGGTCCAGTGGTTATAAGTAGCCATGAATTGCCTTAGAGGTTGTAAATAGGGTGGCTAACGAGGGCCAGCCAAAGCCCACCCCCTGGTAAGTGTTATTAGCTCTTTCTGTGTGTTTCATTTCCATTTCATACGTTGGGGAGGGGAGACCATCTATGCCAGTGTGGTGTGTGTCTGTCTCAGACGTGTGTGTCCATACATTTCTCACTTTGGGGCATATTTTTTCTTTTTCTTTCTCCTCCTCCTCCCTCTTCTTCACTTCTGGAGACTGCTGTCTTAACACTTATGTAGTTAAAGGTTTTTGTTTTTGTTTTTTAAGAATTGCACTTTCTTTGAAGACAACAAAGTGCATGTTTTTCAAAGATGAGAAGGCATACTCAGACTTTCTAGGTTGTATTTATGATTGCTTTATTTATCACTGCATAATGCTCTCATCATCATAAACTCTTCTGAGGTCATCAACTGGATTTGGGCGTCTTCAGTTACAAATGAATGTAGAAGAAAGACGGCTGTGAAATTCACATGAAATAATATACTATTTCTTCCTCCTGTCTCTTTCAAAAAATACTTCCTCTTTCTCTTTTCCACATCTGCCCTCCCTTCTTTTACCTTCTTCCTTCCCCTCCTTCTTTTTCTTTTCTCCCTCTCTCTTCTCTCTCTGACCATTGACATTGCTCCGATCCTTCTTTCCACTCAGCTTCATTCCACCATGCCCAAAGCATCCCTGCTGCTGTGTGTTGCCCTGGTGCTACTTGGGCTTGTGCATGGAGCCACACTGAGAAACAAGGAGAAATGGAAGTCACTGAACAACCCCAGAAACAGAGATCTGGTAAGAGCACACACTGGGACATGCTGAGCTGCAGGGTGAAATTGGCACCTCTGGATTTATGCACACTGCACTCTGCTACAGTACAGTGGAGGCCACCAAGTGCCAAGGAGATTCCTTGATAGGACTGGGCAAAGGCTTTGCTAGCCTAGTGGCTGATATCCTGTTGTTCTTCTGGCCAATTTACATCTGTTTCTGTGAGGAGAAACAGACTTATATTTAGAGATGATTTTATACACATGCAACACATTACATTTGTAAGTGATCTTACATACACATTGACTTCATAGCCTGGGCTCCTCATAGATATACAAAATCAAGAGCTTTAGCAAGGAATTGATTTTTCCACAGTTCAGATTGAACTGATAATAAAATAGATTCTCATATGACCAACACATGCAAAGCTCAATTGCAAAAACTGAAAGTTGACTTGCATTCTTATCGATTCACCAGGCATTATTTTTATTTCTTTTTTTTAAGATTTAGTTTTAAATAATGTCTATACCCAACGTGGGGCTCAAACCCATAGCCCCAAGCCCAAGAGTTGTACCTTCCATTGACTGAGCCAGCCAGGCGCCCCCCAGCATTATTTTCAATATAAAGTTATCTGGGAAATAGAATTCAAAACATCAGCAAAAATTCTTTTAAAAGTATGCCAAATAAATAAACATGCTGATATTATTTCACAATACAGTTTCCAATAAGAAAATGGTGTGAAATATAACAAGATAGGGTTAAAACAACCAAGCTTCTATGTATTCATTTCCTGAAGGAAAGCTGGAAATCGCATGTCTAAAAGATCCAGTGCAGAAGACCATGCCTGGGATCTCACTGGCAGGCAGACAGGGGGCAGGAGCTCTCATCACTGTGCAGTTCAATCTAATCTCTGACCTACTGGTTCAAAGGTTGTTTACAACAAACCTTCTGACTATGATGCTGTTAAATAATTATTCTCTCTTAATCTCCACCAAAAAGGTTGAATTATCTGGTTCAGGGTTGAAATGTTGGAAAGAAGGCAGGGTACGGGACAGTGGAGGGGAAGGAGAAGTAGTCAAAACGTGTACTTCTATTTCTGGGTTTTCCACCTCCTGTCTCCTAGATTAGCCCCCAAGTCAATTCACAGAGGAAAAGAGAGAGGGGGGAAAATATCTGTCTCTATGTATTTTTGATGTTTAATTCACACATGGCATTTAACATTTTCTCTCTTCAGTTTTTCAGAACCCTTCAGGCATATTTTAAGGGACGAGGTCTCGATCTCGGGAGGTTTCCAAACACTTTCTCCATGAACGAGAATCCTAGAGCTCTCACTTTCCAATCAGAACTTCTTGCCTCTGCATTTGCAGATTATGAAGAGGAGAAAAACTCCTTTCCCAAATACCTCAAAGGCTGAATGTTTCCTCTGAACACAAGTAAGTTATCCTTTTATTCCCAGGATCTACCCAATTATACAACTCAAGCATAAAGAGATTTTGAAAGTATTTATTTGAAAAATGATTTTATTTCCTCATAGAAACATGTACTCATTTCTGATGATACTCATCACTGTTAATATTTGGATTTGGTTAATGTGTTTCATGGCCTGGTTTCATTTTATTTTTTTAAGATTTTATTTATTTGAGAGAGGGCACAAGAGTAAGAGACTGAGAGAGCACAAGAGGGGAGCGGCAGACAGAGAAGGAGAAGCAGACTCCCCACTGAGCAGGGAGCCTGATGCGGTCTCCATCCCAGGACCCTGAGATCTTGACCTGAGTCAAAGACAGATGCCCAACCGGCTGAGCCACCCAGGTGCCCCCATAGTCTGGTTTTAAAAAGAAATGACAGTGGGGTACCTGGGTGGCTCAGTCTGGTAGGTGTCTGACTCTAGATCTCAGCTCAGGTCTTGATCTCAGGATCATGAGTTTAAGCTCCACTTGGGACTTAAACCAAAAAGAAAAAGAAAAAAAAAAAGAAATGACAGTTAATGAATAGTTTTCTAGCAAGAGAGATATTAAAAGGATTAACACTTTTTCTTTAAATTAATCTCTATGCTTAATATGGGGCTTGAACTCACAACCCCAAGATTAAGAGTCGCCTGCTCTACTGATTGAGCCAGCCAGGCACCTCTAGAATTATCACTCTTAATAATCAGTAAATATAGTGGAATATCACATGCTTTTACCTATCTTTTTTTTCATACCATGTCATATAGCTAATTTATGCAGAAAATCATATATAAAGATATATATCAAATTGTGCAGTTGGATTTAATAGAAAAGTTCAAAAAAAAGAAAAGTTCAAAAAATGGTCTTCTTGGAAAAAAGTTATATTTGAGCTTGAGCTTTCTCACTTAGAGAAAAAAAAAAGTAAAGTATTAGTAAAGATGGCATTTTCCTCACAGAAAAAAACACAAAAATTTATTTACATTTAAGATTTAAGCTTTATTATTCTTTTTTAAGCTTTATTATTCTTATTACCTTAGCATACCTATTAAATAAATATTTACCATTAAAAAATTAAATGTGTGGTACATTCCCAAAAAATACTTTGTGATTCTAGTCTATTAGTTTTTTTGTTTGGCTGAATAGGGAAGGAAACTGAATCATAATTAAACCTACTCCCATTTAACACAAGCTTGAGATGAAATTGTGAGGAAACATACTATTGTTGCACTTTATTCTGCATGTGAAAGAGTTTTCATTACTAGTTCCTTCAAATGTGGTAACAGAAAATGAGATTTACCATGTGGCATATGCACCTGACAACTCCTACAATGAGAAAATAAACTAGAATAAAAATAAAGATGTTAATGAAGGGTTCTCTTGACTCTTAGTCACACTTAGGCCCTAGGCTATTAGACACTAAAACAGAACAACTGCTAATACCACACTATGAGACAGAATTGCATGCAGATTGGTCGTAAGCCTTAGTTTCTTTGTTTATAAATTGCAGATACTGATTTCTAACTCACAGAAAGTATTGGAGAAAATATCAAATAACATTACATGGGCATAGAGTGAGGTGATGTTTAAGGGCAGGAAACAGAGAAAGCGCTCAGTAGTATCATAAAACACATTGTTCAACGTGGTGAGAGAAACTAAGCTTCTATTTGGAGAATAGTTCATAATTATACGTGCTTCATTCTAACACATCTATTTAGAAAAGAAAACCTGGGGTATCTGAGTGGCACAGTTGGTTGAGCAGCTGACTCTTGGTTTCAGCTCAGGTCATGATCACAGGGTCTTGGGATCAATCCCCACCTCAGGCTCCAGGCATAGGGGAGAAGCTGCTTAAGACCCCTTCTTCCTCTGCCCCCTGCCCCACGTGCTCCCTCTCAAATAAATCTTAAAAAGTCTTTGTTGAAATATGATCTTTGGGTCATTGTGTTGCTTGTATAGTCTTCAGTTTCTATTTTGTGATATCATTTTCTTGTTCTTTCAGGTGTCTGGCTATTTTGAAACCATAGATGAAGCTTCTCATTAGAAAAATTCAATCGAAAAAAAAAAAGAAAAATTCAATCGTGGTCATGGCTAAACCATTTTTCCCTCCACTTTTGTCAATGTATAATGGTTTTATTCTACATTTCTGGATTTACATATAAATAGATTGACCCTTGAGACATATGTGACTTACCTGTATTTTTTTGAGTCTTTTTTCCACTCTATAAACCATAATCACCAACGTAGAGCACTGCACATATTTGTAAGAGTTACAAAAACACCGTTGAGTCAAAAAGAGATGATGATCTTCCAAATTACATTTCTTTTAAGCTTCTCTACCAAAAAAAAAGCTTCTCTTTAAAACCTGTATGCTTATTACCTTTTATCAATAAATGCTTTTATTTGAAAGAGACTCTTTGCATTTTTACTATATTTTATTATATGTAATAGAGATTTGAGCTTAAAATTTGTCTTTTTCCTGAAGAGAAGACACATTCCCACTTTCAGCCTGTGCTGTTGGAAGACCTCACAGTTTCATACCAAGGGAGACGTAGCAATAAACATACACAGTAGAGTTGAAATGGAACGCAAAGACACTTGGGATTCTAGAAGTTGCTACGGTGTCTAGGAGATATTCCCCACCACTCTATTCAGAGGTGGACATTGTGCTACATGAACTATCCTAGCCACACCCAGCCCTGGTTCTTCAGCACACACTTCCTTAAGAAGGTAGCTTAAAAGTGCTTGGGATTGCCTTCTTTTACAACCAATTTTCTCCTCTCCTCATCAGCTTAAGCTGAATTATTCTGATTCTCATATTTTCATTTGGAATAGCTACTTTTCCTATATCATTATGGAGAGCTGCATCATTTTCTCTGTGATTCCTACAAAAGAACATTGTACTAGAATGCAAACATCGGTGTCCTAGTAGCAACAGTCTGTATGTTCCACAATAGTTTTCTGTGGCTTTTTTGTGGATGATTGATACTCAAGATCAATAATAAAATATTTATGCAAAAATAGATTTCTGCATCTGGTTTCATTTGTTCTGTTTTAACCAGTTGTATACATGTCTGTTTTCCCTGGAGTGTTGTGAGGTCTTTGTGGGCAGAAATCATATCTAAGCCATTTTTATTTCTCCAGTGCCTAGCACAGTGCTCTGCATGTAGCAAGTGTTCAATAAATATGTCTTGAATTGAAGTGAAGGTGTATGCTATTCTGTTATTATTCGCTCAGTAATAGAAGTTGCTTCTAGCTCAAATATTATGTTTCCTACCATTTAAAAGGTATAAGTGATCACTGATTATGAGCTAGCCCTCCAAAAATTATAAACTAGTCAGATAAAGGGTAGAGTGGTAAAGAGTCTTTTACCACTGTCCAGTCCCACTTAGTTACCCGTGGCTGGTTTTTCCCCTTCCCTTTTACTACCCCTGCTCTAGGATCAACCAATACAATACATCCACAAAGGGAATGCTTATGTTTCAGGAAAAACTGAACTTACGTTTCAGTTCCTTTGAAAAGGAAAAGCATCCACACGGACTTTGAGCTAGGAGCTTACAAAGTCTCAATGCAAGAGTATGCATTCTTCCGCTGGAAAACTCTTCGCCATTGGCAGGTAGATGTTGATGGAAAGCCTTCACTCCACACTGATTAGAGTTTCTTTTTTTTAAGATTTTATTTATTTATTCATAGAGATGCAGAGAGAGGCAGAGACAGAAGCAGGCACCATGCAGAGAGCCGGACGTGGGACTCGATCCAGGATCTCCAGGATCACACCCTGGGCTGCAGGCGGCAGTAAACCGCTGAGCCACCGGGCCTGCCCTGATTAGAGTTTCTTGATGGTGATACTAGTGGCATTTGGGGAAGACCAAGTCTCTGCTTGTATGACCATTTATCACATCTGGGCCAAGGACACCGTATGTCAGTCATTTCCCTCACCCCTGCCCTATTATTTTGACAACCACAACTTCCCCCACACACATTTCTAAAAGCCCACTGGGGAAGTGGTATTTTCCTGGCTGAGAGTCATTGCTAGGAAAACAGCAAAAGTGTTGTGTTTCCTCCAGCAAAAAAGTAATGTTTTGTAAGTAATCCAGGTTCTCAAGGGGCCCATGGTAATTCTCTGCACAGGTCTCTGACAGCCTTTCAATACTGATTCTGTTCCTCTTTGATGTTCCCCATTCCCAGGACAATAGGACAATTCCTATTGTCCCCTATCCCAGATCTAAGGATAAGAACTGTTACGAGTGTGAGGTTCTACTTTATTTGTAAGCTGCACACTATCCTACTACAGTTTCACAGATCCTGTCAGACACACGAGACTCTTGAGTCCGAGGCAACAGTCTTTCTTGCTCATGGCGCTGCAGTCAGCATGAGTTGTATACCCACATTGGTTCTCCTACCCCCAAGTACCATGGGAGCCACATGGAGGTGTGTTCAAGGCTATGCTGTACACAAGTGGGTTTGTACCATGGCTGAGGACCCCAAACTTAGGAAATCCCCACTTTTATAAGGGACCACTATACTAGCAAACATGCTCAGCCTTTGCCCCAGGTGGAAACATTATATTTATTATACTGGTCAGAAAACAAACCTGTCCTCTGCCCCAGAAAAAGACAATTTTTCTGTCTTTCAAGGTTGATTGTTCTAGAGACATCTTTGAAAATATAACCCAGATTGAAGGTTGTGACAGGATTCTGCAGAAAAGAGAGAATTATGGAAAAATTGTCTTCCCAAAAGGGTCATATCCTATTCCTTTTCCTCCCCTTGACAAAAAGAAAGAAAGAAGTCATCTCTTTCCTGTGTACTCTTAAATTCTCTTGTCATGGCACATACTCAATATTCTACTTTCTTCAGACATTCCATTTTGATTCTCAAAAGCAGTCAGAAAGTATGAAAAATTTCTTCCTGCTATTTTCATTACTGCTGGAACAATTCTACTTCATCTCAAGGTAATGTGGACACCTCTGACTCA